CGACAAGGAGGTTGAGACAATAAATTTGATATTTTCCAAGCAACACAAGCCCAATCAACACTAGGAGGCCTAGTCTGGAAAACTCAAAGGGTACACAAACACAGGTGTGACCAGTGCATTTTATCTGATTAAACCTCTCTCTGATACCAGTGAACTTAATGTAACCTTGTCTAAATTTTTGAAGGTACATGTCCAGTTGTTGGGTGTTTCAGTACTTTTTGCACAGCTTGCTCTTCTCTAGCAAGGACCTTAACTGCAAACTTCACAACAGGCGTTAGATTCATAGTTGAACATTTCCTCGTGGAAAAACAATTATGCAGTCCTCCGTTCACATTATGAGACCAATACGATGCCCAACAGCTGACCACTAGATCCACGACACTGCGAGGCTTTAAACAGGAAGTTGTCAGACAGAAGTCGCCACTCGGCCAACAGATATACAGAGACGGGAAGAGTCACAGAAACGCATACAAGCGGACGTCCTTCGGGTGCAGTGTCCTGCCAAACTGAATGATGAATGCCAATCAGTTCCTGGCATATTAAGAAAGGAGAGAGGCACCCAAGTGTCATGTCAGACCATTCAAAACCGTTTACAGTGACGCGGTTTCCGTCACAGGCAACCTGGAAGACGACCAGACTCCACTGTCTGGAACACATCATCGTCTTTCATGGGAGCATTTACACGGGACAAAGGACCAGTGGGGCTCAGTGTTGTTCTCTTGATGAATTTCAATCCACATCAAGCAAAAATGATGGTCACCAAAGAGAATGAGGACACTGTAAATATTCAGAGAATCCTTCGTAGAAAGTAATGAAACGGGTGAAATAGTAATGCTTAAAACTATTTTTCCTCCCTATAATCCTTGAACATGGTGAGCAGGTTTAAATGGCCATTTTTACGAACATTAATTTGTTCTTTAGTAGATCATTCCGTTGCAGAAAATCCTGTTGTTTTCATTCCTGCAAGGCAGTGGAGACTAACCTTCTTCTGCTTCCCGCTCCTGCCTCTGCAGCATCTGTTGCTCCGGCGGTAGAGCCTGCTGTAGGAGCTGCATGTAGAACTCGTTTTCCTTCTGCACCTCCTTCTGTTTCCTCAGGCGCATCTTATAGCTGACGTAGCTCTTGAAGCCGAAGCCCAGGGTCACCACTGGATAGCCGATACTAGGAGGAATAATAACGAGACTGCCTTTTGGTTCCACAGACACCAAAGCAAGGGAAGGGAATACTTTTACGCGGCAATGTGTGCTTAAGGAAACTCCTTTGACTGAACGATGCTTACCAGTGGGCGGCGAAGGGTCGACAGAGATCTACGTGGAAATTCTTCAGGTCTTTGAACCGTATGGCAGCTTCGATGTACACAAACAGAATCCAGAGCGAAACGGTGGGTAGACAGACTCCTCTCTCTGGATGAAAAAGAGCGACGTTAAAGCGGCCACTTCCCAGACAAGAAAACGTTGAAACCAACTGAAAATTTTTTTGGCTAACCTGTGTGCCACACATACTGCACCCACACGTAGGTGCTGGCTGCAAAAAACAACCACTGGACGGGGATGAAGAGGAGGCATATGATGTCCGACGTAAATGCCACACAGACGAAGAAAACAGAGAATGCCTAAATGGAGAGGGGGAGGATACAAAATTAGATGCTACTACATTTTCCAAGTCAATTGATACCAAACATGACTAAGACTTTACTTCAGGTATTTCTACGTTGGCAAAGTTTTACATACCTACAAAAACCAAACTGTGAGGGGATGAATGGATGGAACACGAGCTGTGTTTCCACTACAAGCAAACTTTGTCGATATTCCGCTAATGTTGATTAGCTATTTTTTTAATGTTGAAACAATTTTGCAGTTGTTTCCCCTAAATTAAAATCACATGTGAGAAGTTATTGAAAAGCATGCCACATAATTGTCCTTCTTCCACTTCTTGTCGTCTTTATCTTTTCTGCCAGTAGTAACGGCCGGTTGTTGATCTCGACCCGTGTGATTGTGAAAAAAGTGTTTCCATTGTAGTTTTGTGAAATACACCAATTTTGAGACAGCTGAAAAACCACCTCATCCTAGCACAAAAGGTTTTTAATCGAACATTTTAAAATCGCCGTGTTTCCATTACATTTTTGTAATTCCAGTATATGCAATCTTATGGTCAATGGAAAGGCAGCTACTAATTCACATATTCTTCCACAAATATTCTGACCTGCACGATACTTGACCATATTCCATACTTCCTGTAGGAACTCTGTGCACAGAGGGAACACAGACAGGCACTTACCAGACCCTGATATCTGAAAGAATCGTAGACGCTTCGGATGAAAAGCCAGAAAGGCCACAGGTACTCGAACCTGAACTCCAGCACAAAGTCAGCCAGCAGAACCAACACCCACACCACCAGGAACTTCAGGTACAGGAATGTGCTGTGAGAAGGAGGCAACGAGTTAAAGGGGAGGTAAGGAGGCGTCTTACGGATAAGGAGTCTAGTAACGATTATTTGTTCCGCTTGAACTTTTCCACACTAGCTAACCTTATACAAAGGTATTTAGCTTGACTCTAGTCAGTAAACCAACGCCAACTACTTACCATTTATATTGTTGTAATTTTAATCACTTTGTACAGTGATTATAATTCGGGTATTTGTAGACCTTCAATGTATTTTTTTAATGATATTAGACAGCTTCATTGGCTCACCTGCTCAGGGACTACAGATGGAAACTAGCATAAGCTAGATATGGTGCAAAACACCTTTTATTAAAGCTTTTTTGTACATTGTTACTGTTATTAATTAACTAAACAAATTAAATAAACAGACCATAAAGGATAATTGTAAAGAGAAAGGGAAATTAAACAAAATAAAAATCTATTAATTGTGGTGTGTGACTTTCTATACCGGCAATCAATACTTTGTGAGATATTGCAATTATAGTTTGAGTTCTTTCCAGTTCTAGAGACTAGAGATTCAAACTGTTGATGGAGAATGACTGAAGACATGTATATATTTTAAGTCAAGTTTAACATATTAAAACCTGGGTTTAGGTCTGGCCTTTGACTGGGTCAATCTAATTTATGCATGTTCAGTGTTGTTGCCCTGCTGGAGGATCAACCTCTGGTCAGTCTCAAGTCTTTTGGACCCTCTAAATGTTTTTTCAGTTTTCTTGTCTGTGTTACAAAACAATTAAAAAAAGAAAACTGACAGCATGATTCTCCCACCACTGTGTTTTACAGCGGGGAAGATGTAATCATGGTGAGGAGCGCCGTTAAGTTTTCTGTAGTATACAGCATTTTGCAAGTAAGGCGACACGTTTGTGGTGTGAAGGACAACGGGGGTTTTTTATGACTATTTGATATGGAGTATTCAACAATGTTCTGCAACTGAGAGAAGGGAAATTATAATTAAAGAGCAAAAGGAAATGAAAAGAACAACCAAAAAGTGTTTTTCAGACCAGTGTGTTGGGTAAATATACAGAATGAATTAAATGATGAGCTCAAAGTACAAATATAAAATCAGTTAAAAAAAACAAGAACAAAAAAAAAACAGATTTTAAAGTATGCTGAATAGTACATGTAGGTCAAAGTCACAAAATTGCAATTGTTGTTGTTAATGACGTATAAATAATAGAGTTGTGAGAATGTGAAATTTAAGCATCATTTCATGTGGGAATATTTTAAGGCCTGAATGTTGAAGTGTATGAGAGCGAATATTTAAAATTCATTCAAACTTTTTGTACCTATTTATGTATCAGGTGACTTCTGACGGCACTGGCCTCTATTTCAAAGGGCTTTGATACACAGGCATGTCACAATTTCCAGGTTTATTCTTAAGAGGATTTGAATGCCTCGTTTTGTGTCCGCTGCGTCCGATAAGACGCACCAACTTTTCTGTTTGTAACAGTTCCAGGAGCACCAGCAAACACTCAAGATGGTTGGATGAAAATAATAATAATAATCATCTGAAAAAAAAACATATTTATACATTTCACTACTGATCTGTGTTGAAACATCTACACTCCCAAAGCAAATGTAAAGTCATTTCTCAATTTGAACGCAGCCAAAACACAGGATAGGCCCTGAAGAAGCTGGCTGAAACCCCACTGTGTGGTTTAAGCTCTCCATGTATAATAAATGGGGGGGGTCATGTCTGGACATGCTGCCCGGCACAGCTGCTTTCCATTTCGTGTGGATTGCTACCAATCAACCAAAAGGGGCCGGCCGGCTGTTTGCGTTGCAACAAGTTAAATTAAACCGGCTGTAAATAAGACATTGTTTCATTCATACATTTAAATGAAGCCTCCCCCCCCCCCCCCTCTTTCTGCCAGACAAAGCACATGTGATTTCAAAACGAGCGCCTCCGTCATTACAGCTTCTCTCACAAAGTTCCACAGCGTTTTCTTCCCCCCATTTTAACCGGGCACATTTCCTCGGGGTGTCATTTATTAATAATGGCGCTCGTGGAGTTATTCAAGCACTAATTCAAATTTGATCAGAATTTTTTTTTTTTTTTTTAAGGCTTACGCCGTGTCTTACACGCCAGCTTATAAAACCGTTAAGCCGGGCCTGATACTGTGGTGGGGGGGGGGGGGCCATTCACGTCCATTCAGTTCACATTGAAACACGAACGCACCACAGGCTGTCAGTCGCGTCCTGACACATACAGAGCGACGCCATTGTTATACAATAAGGTCCCCTCCAGCCCCCCTTTTTTTTTTTTTTTTTTTTTTTTGTACCTGCTATATATACCCTCGGTGATTCGGTTCCGTTTTAACGGCCGTCGGAGTTTGCTGCAGTCCGCATTGCGCCGCTTCATCCTCCCCCTGTTGATTCTCTGTTGATATCGCTCTGGTAACTGGAACTGGAAACGTCACCCGCTCATCCTAGCATCCCCGCTTGTTCCAATTACCCACCATTGTAGCTGTTTTATGCTCATGAAACAAAGAAATAAATAAAAACAGTCCGCCGAAGGCCCTCCCCCTTTCACGACACGCTGCGTTGCTTGCGTCTTGACGTGTCGCGGCGGCGACGTCGAAGACGTAGGAAACATGGCTGCTCCCTGCTAGTCGAAGCGTTTCCCTGAATGTTTTTTGTTTTTTGTACCTACTTGTGCAAAACATTCATTTCCGAACGGTAAGTCTCATGAGATTGTACGTTCGTTTCAGTTTGGGTTTGGTTTATTCGCCGTAGAGACGCTTAGAAAAAGTCAAAGTAGGCGCCAATGTGCGCAGTATTTCTCACGTTTTCTTAACCACGTTTGTTTGGGTTTTTTTATGTATAGCTTAGCCCCTTTTTCCTCCAAGCCGCAACGTTTCCTGTTTCAGAAATGTTATATCACTTTAGCTTAACAAGAGGAGCCGTCGGTGTAAGCGAACTCAAGAACATTTGTGGATTTTTTTCAACTTTTCAGTTTTCGGGTGATTGAAACTGCAGTGAAGCTCACTGTGTCAAATATGGCAGCCAGATGAAGCTTTTCATTAAAGCTGTAAAGTTTTTACCCAGTTGGGAAAAAAAAAGCATTTGAAAACTCAGCAGTGCCACCTGCAGATCTGAAAACGAAGATCAAGAAATTATGCAATATGCGTAATATTTTATTTAGATACTTATTTGGAATACAAAATTTGACTGTACCTCTTATTTTACTAAATTTTACTTTTAAAATGTAAGCTACTTGCTTGTGCAGCTGGGCAATAGGTGTGCTGTTGAAATTAATGTTAAAAGCGCCATTTAAAAACAAACTATTTAAATTAACAGGCCATAAAAAACTGGAAGAATCAAATGGTATCAAGGCTGTGTATGTCAGCTTGAAATGAAAATAGTTTCAAAGATTTTTAAAGCTGAGGTTTTTGGAGAGATGCTTCACTACTCGACCTAAAATATATAACAAACATGTAGTTAAACATCCCAAAAACTGGCTCAAATTTTTAGAAATTATAAAGCTTTAGTAAGCACATGTTACTGGTGAATGATCTACCTTTTTCAGTGTTTACAATAAATGGCAGGTAATTTACCTGCAATTGTCTGTCATCCATCATAAAAATGTTTCCTGCTGTAAGATTTTGTACAATTTTGCCTTTTACACATTTATCCAAATGTTAAAGGGATTCCCATGCTAAAATGTGTTTTTCTTTAATTGTTTGTTTTTAAGCTGTTACATAGCAATAAGCTCTGTGTTTTGACAGATGATTAAGACAGAGAAAACGTTCCCATCTGTTGAAGAGCAAGAACAGGACGAGAAAGAGGAAGATGAGGAGGACGACGAAGAGAAAGGAACCACAAGTTCAGATAATAATAATGACGATGAGGAGAAGGGTGAAGCGGAAGCAGGAGGTGGAAAGGAAGCAGAAGTGTCGTCTACTGCGGAAGGAAAGAAGCCCTCCGATGTCCTGAATCTAAACAACGAGGTGGTGAAGATGAGGAAGGAGGTGAAGAGGGTGAAGGCTCTGATCATCAGGAAGCTCACTCGTCAGATTGTCGCCTTGAAGAAGAAGAAGGGAAAGGAGGCAGAAATGGAGAGGAATCAGAGGAGAGCAGCGAGGCTGCTGGAGGAGGTCCACAGCATGAAGAAGCTCCCTCCAGACAGGGTACGGCCGTCCCGCAATTTCTCTGAAACCTGAAATGTTCTGTGTTTGCTTGATTCCACAGTCAGGGGTTAGCATTTAGCCTCATTGTTAGTCCTTTGCTGTTTCCAGCTTTCTTCCCTCATGTTAATCCCCTCTAACTAGAGCAACTGTTACACCTGTCCTAGTAAAATCCAAGCAAAATGTATTTCTATAGCAAAACAAACAATGAGGTGTCAATACTTTGCTCAGCAAATCATTAATTTTGCAGCTCTAACCTGATGCGTTTCAATTTTTTATTTGCCGACAACTACAGGTGACCAAAACGGCCTTGCAAAAGAACCTCAACTTTGAGCACGTTTGCAAAAACCCCAAGTCAACCATGTTAGACAGAGCCGTAGCACGCATCGCCAGCCACCCTCAGTTCAGGAAGAAGATCGAGAGCATCAGAGCCGCCGTCAAAGACTTCAGAGAGGAGCGCAACAAGCCCAGAAAACTGGGGGAGCACCCGAAAGGTCAGAGAGCACCAGAAAAAGCCACCCAGCTTTCACCAGACTCAAGACAGGACAGAAAAAATGAGGATGAAGACAAAGACAATTCTTTGAACCAACAAGTGGAAGACATTAAGGAAGGAACAGATGTCCTTAAAAGTGCTGAGAAATCAGTTGTACGATCACCTGCTCCCTCTGATACCTCAGACCTTCACAAGCAAGAGAAGCCAGAGTCTACTAGTGCTAAAGCTACTGTAGTTAAAAGCAGCATGAAGCCTAAGCCTCAAGGTAAACACAAAGAGAAGAATTCCTGTCTTCAGTCTGTTCCTGAATCAGCTCTCGAAAGCGTAGATGAAGAAGAGAGCGACGTAGAGTCATTGGACGACGAAGAGAAAGAGTACTTTGACGACAGCACGGAGGAGCGTTTCCACAAGCAGTCGTCGGCGTCAGAGGAGAGCGATGAAGACGACTTCTTCATAGGGAAAGTTAGCAAATTCAAGAAGAAGAAGAAAAAAGAGACGAGCGGCGAAGTGGAGGTAGATAAAGAACAGCAAGGGAAAAAAGATCCGGGTGACGCGAAAAGCGACAAACTCCAGAGTGAACTGGACGAGCTGGAGTCCAGGTTGAAGTCCAAACCCTTGACAGTTCAGTCTGTGTTCTGCTCGTCGCTGGCCGGAGGTAAGGGCGGACGGGGTGGCCACATAGGGAAAGGGACGGTTAAATCTGGAGCTCCGGGGAACTCCAAAACCGGCGGAGGTTTAAATGATGGAGGCTCTGGCAAATTACAGTTCACAAAGCAGGAGGACAGAACTTCAGATTCTGAGGCCAAGTTCGGCAAACGCCCCGAGTCGGACAGAAAAGAATCTAGGTCTGCCGGGAGAGAAAGAGGCAAAGATGTCCGAAAGCAGAAGGACAACAGGGGGGGAGGCTTCCACTCCCATCAGCCGCCACAGCCGGCGCTCCACCCATCATGGGAGGCCAGCAAGAAGAGGAAAGAGCAGCAGGGACAAATCCTGGCATTCCAAGGGAAGAAGATTAAATTTGATGATGATGATGACTGAAGGAATTATTTTAGAACTGAATAAATTTAGCCTTCAGGAATGTATTTTGGTTGTGCTCATCTTCTGTCCCTCCTAGATTTAAAGTCTATTGCTTAGACACTTGTCATTTGTTCAAGAATAGATGCAAGACGGTGTGTTGAGGCCATTGTGAACTTCTTTGTCTTTAGTGATAAAACTTAAGTCTTAAGATGTTTTCAGCATCAGGATATGACGGTTTAGTACTTTTTTTTTAATTAAACTACTGTGCTTTTCAAGGAAAATTTCTATTAAACTTGGATTTTTATGAGTATGGACATGGAGATGTCACCTATTTCCCTGTTTACATTTTCTTAAAACTGTCAAAGTGTGACGTGTTTACTTACACTGCGGAAAATCTTTCACTCAACTAACCATTTCTCGTTTATGCTAGCCCCTGTTATTAGGTAAGTTTAAATCAATGACCAATTTTGGAGGTTATTTTACCCTTGTGGCTCCATGTTTCTTCAAATATTCTAAGCGGTGTCTTTGAACTTATTGAAAATAACTGAATAAAATATTCGATCATGTGAATCTTTATCTTCTCATCATGAGCCACAAGGTTGTTGAGACAATCGCAGAAATGTCTATCTTTTTTTTTTCACTCTTATTCAGATGCGCCACCTGATGGCAGAAGTAATCTGAACCATTAAACGTTCAGATTGCGTGACTCTAAAAAATTTAAATTATTATTTTGAATATGAAACTAAATATATATCGTTTAAAAAGATAGTCTGAAGAAAACATGGCTTACGGATAACCGTGATATTTAAAGATTTATTGCAACGTTTATCTATGTAAGTATATGTTACTCATGAAGAGAGCAAAACATTTTTCTGATTAAAATTTTAAATTTTTCCCCCATTTTGAAGAACCCGTTTTTGTGTCCCACCACAATTCATGGATTACTAATTGTAGATACTGACTGACTAAATCACTCCATACTCTGGACAAAGGTAAATGTGTTATTGACAGGAGCCTTAGAAGCGTATTTCAAATACTAACTGTGACAATCGAGTTTTATCATTACTTTGAAGGATCTGTGAACAAACCTGAGTTGTGTCAAACCCCAAGAACTTGTGATCGACTTGAATTACTCGATTGTTTTGAAGTCAAAGTTCTACAATTCAGCATATACGATTTAATCTCCATCAAAAACGACAAGTAGGAAAATAGAAAGGAAACTCCGAAGACTGTAGTTTGTAGCACAGTCTCTTTGTTGCTGGCCTTAGTGGTGTGGTGTTAGTTTTGGTAATTTAAACACCAGTTATTTACGACCTCAAAGGAATTTGGATCTTGGAATGACATCAAAACCATTTTAGTTGTTCAAGCTCCAAAAGAAGGCATTAATAGCATCAACATGCACAGTGACCCGTACTAGTATTTCCTAATAGTAATTAGCCTTAACAACAATGTGCTTTTCTTAGCACAACTTTCAAAATTTGTACCACCATTTTCAGTGAAAGAGGACTGTGTATGAGATGTTTAATGAGATATAGGCGAGAGTGATGTAAGGCAGCCATTTGGATTTCAATGCTGTTGGGGGTCATTAAGAAAATTCTGACATTTCTACCAACTATAAACCGGAGCATTTCGACAGTTTTGTCAATCATTGGATATGAACATTTACATGTCGGCCCCCTATCACCAGTCTGAAAAAGTTTGTCTTCCACGTTAAAATGGCCGCGCTTGGAAAACTTGGTACTGAGTTTGGTTTTGTGGTTCTTGCTCTTAAAAACTCTTGGGATAATTGGTGCCTGAATACGGTCAACGTTATTAAGCCGAACTTTGCTTAATGACGCCTTACGACGACTTTAGTAATGCTTACTTTACCCGAATTGATGCAAACATATGGCTTTGTGACGTTAGGACATATGAAGTTTGTTGTTTCTCGTAGGATTTAGTTGGACGAAATATTTGCCTAAATTTAGTCAAATTCTCAAACGAAATAATGCTATTATAATAATAAAAATAATAAATAAATAAATAAATATTTCGGATACTTTTATTTTGAAGGCCACCTCTGACGTTTGTGTATATCCGGAGGCTGCACAGGCGTGCTTATCCTCCGCTGAGGCGATTTGGCGCGTAATACTTTTGTATATTTCTGATTTCGGTCGGCGCATAGCCTAAAGCAGGACCCGAGTGATGCTAAAGTAACTTTTAAGACGTGTGCGAAATGTTGTCAACACCAATAGAGGAAAGAAAGTACTTTTGCAGCCCAGAGGTAAGCTTGGGAAGGGGGGAGGGACTGTTGTTTCAACAAGCTAAGCAAACTTTTAAGTTAGCCTTTGCCAACGTTACGCTGCAGACTCGTGCGTCAGGTGATACACGGAGTCGACTTGAAGCGTCAATTGTTTGTCGCGTGTGTAACAAGGAGCTGAGAAGTGAATATTGAATCAACGTCGCCCCTTAAACAGACGTGGCAAACTTGATGAACGTGTTTATTTGCTAAAATTTTCTGCCAGGCGAATAGCAGACTGGAACTGCAGCGCCGTGTACCGCGCGAGCCTCAGGACGAAGGTGGGACCATGGAGTCTGTCGCTGGGGGCAACCAAACCAACATGGGCATAGCCTGTCAGACCCATAATATAAAAAAGGTCAGGCTTTGCAATCCTGCTTTCTTTCTTTCTTTCTTTCTTTCTTTCTTTTCAAAACTTTCGTTACACATTTTGTCACATTAAAGCCACGAATATTTAGTGTGTCTTTAATAGGTGAAAGTACAACAATAAAGTTATTTAAAAACTAATTAACTGACACATGATGTTGCAATGAAAATATAATGTGCAACCCCAGCATAGACCTTAGTGTCTAGAGCTGCAAAGCTGGAAGAAAGATTCCTCAACAAAAATCTACTGATTGACTCAGGAGGTATGCATATTTTGGGACATTTAAAAAAAAAAAAATTATATCAGTCCTGGTAGAATTTATGAAAACTTTGTTGATATTTTGACAAAATGTAAAAAAATAAGATGCGATTACTTTAAATGCTAATAATCTCTATTTAAGTGTTAGTTTTGTTGTGCAATGACCTCAGTGTCCAATACTCATTCCAGTTTAGATATCAGAGTATGATTTTGGGTCATTTCTCCCCTCCCCCAACCCACAGAAGCCATGCTGCTGTTCCAGAAGACCCGTGCCGATAACTCTCTGGTTCTCCTGACGAGGAAGTTTGCTCAGAGACTAAATCGCTCTCTGAGTGGAGTGGTGGACCTCAACTTGGTCTCATCGGAGCTCAAAGTGTCCAAGAGGCGTCTGTACGACATCACCAACGTGTTGGAAGGGATCAATCTCATGAAGAAGACGCACAAAAACCACCATCAGTGGTTGTAAGTACAGTTAACTCTTATTATTCATGTATTGTCATAGGCAAAATAACTCTTACCTTAGCTGGTAGGCAGTGCATAGTACTGATTAAAGTCGCCTAACCAATTGAACATGAATAGAATGTGAAAAGATCTTAGAAAATTGCTTCAATTAATTATGAAATTGGGTTCAAATTGAAGGCAGCTCAGACAGAATGTCCAGTGGAAAGCTGCGTCAATCCAAAACTTAAATGTAGGAAATGGTTTCAAAACAATCAGCAACTTCCTCTATTGTTTTTAATTAATTGATTGATTGTATCTCTTAATCAAATATTTATTTTTGGAAGATTTTTTCCTGGGAAAATCTGGATATAAGATTTTATTATTATTATTTTTTTTTTACTAATGTGCTCACCCATGGCGGACATCTTGCTTGACAAGCGTTTTTCACAGCTTCCGTTTATTGGAGCTTTGAATTCAGGTGAGCTGTACGGTGGAATATTAGGACCAGACAAAGCTTTTATTTCTTAAATTACAAGAACAAAGTCTAATAACAATAGATTCTAAATAATACGAGAATAAGGTTGCAATACAATGAGAACTCCTTTTATCATATCAGTACATCTGCCACAATAATTTTTGCTGGACGATAAATTGTCTCAGACAATTTGAAAACTGTGCGTCAGGTGACGCACAGTTTATAATAATAATATTGTTGCTCTGAGATAACTTTCAGGTTAAATATTGATGAAGGCATAATAAAGCAACAACAAATTCTCAAAAATTAATAAACTTTCAGCTTTTTTGAGCATGTAACACTGCGGCTTAAAGACATTTTAAATTTCCAAAATAAATAAACAAAACAGAAACAACAAATAAAATGATTTATGAAGTCTTTGTAAACACAATTGTCCCTTAATCAAAGGAATAATTGAAACCAAATACCAGACTGAAAACCTTTATCATCCGGTTTGTGGTAGAAAGAGAGAGAAAAGAGAAAATCGATAAATAACCCAAATGTAAGCTATTGAGCTCGTTTCAGTTTATCATGTCATTAATTGATTTATTGTGACAGACTAACAGATCAAAGACTTATTTTCAGTAGCAGGACTTTGACATGATGGTGTTTTATTTTTAAGAAAGAACTACAAACCGAAATGTTTACGTCAAATTGTGAGAACTTTTGACGCTTTTTTATTTTAAAAGCCACTTTTTCAAAGTATTTTCTGTCATTTTGTAAATTTTTTTTTAGAAGAGAGCAAAAAACTTTTATTTTTTTTTTATCTTATTATTTTCAAAAAAAGAGAGAGATTTTATTTTGAAGTGGCATCACCCAGCTTTATTCTCCTGTGCCCAGGTGCGGCCCTGTGGAGAACAACCTCGCCAGAAGCCTGGAGGCTCTAATTGAGGAGGAGGAGAAACTGGACGAGCTCATCCAAATATGTGCCCAGCAGATCAGCAGGCTGTTCGAGGAGAACTTACACGACAGATATCCTTGGATATATTTGGACGTTTTTGTTTTGTATTTACCTCCAAATATACATCGGTTACTTTCCTGAACTCCACCGATCACGTACGCCTACCTGACTTACGAAGATATCAGGAGCATTCCGAGTTTTGAGCAGCAGACTGTGATTGTGATCAAAGCGCCGCCCGAGACTCGCCTTCAAGTGCCACATCCAGAAGAGGTACACATATTGGCACGATTTCAGATTCTTTTGAAAACTCACTCCATAATCACACCGTCCTCTTCTTCTCTGATGCTCAGAGCTTGCAGATTCACCTCAGAAGCGCCAACAGGCCCATCGACGTCTTCCTCTGCTCTGACACGCCGGTTGCCATGGAATCTATGGAGACGCCGGCTGTGGGCAGCGCCAGCGGTGAACAGGTCCAGCTACCCGCCTCTGTTAAATCCTCCTCTGGACCTCCTTCCTTTTCAATGCAGACGTCAGCCAAAGGTGAGCAAATCACTTTATGAAAGGAAAAGAAAAATCTATATGAACAAACCAGGCTGTGTGTGGAACAAGGTTATTATAGTTAACTTATAGTTAACTCAAACTGAAATTGAGAACTATATTGTGTGCTTTTAAAAATAACTAAAACATACTGAAATTATAGATATAATATCCTTTGTTTTTGTGTTTATGAATATATTTTTTAGCCTCTTGAACTGATGTGAAATGCATTTTTTCCCCCTCCACACAAGCAGTTTACGTCGGCTTTTGGCAAATTACTTAACTCTATACTGCTGGTGGCGCTTATGCTAGCCCACAAAATGATGACGGCAAAAGTTGGAATAAAATGCCAGTCAGTTTTTTCTTCAACAATAATTTAATCCATTTTCTGAAATGGTTTCTTCTGCGTTCTTCTGGTTTCTTCATTGTGTAAATCAATGTACACAATCGCCTTACGCTACTTTCAACTTTGAATTCTGTACCTAAGAAATAACCAACGTATAAAAAAAACTAAAACTACGCTATAAAAAAAACTAAAACTACCGCTATAATTAAAACTAAGCTAAAACTAGACAACATTTAACTATTAAAATAACAAACACACTGTCAAATCTAAAAGAATCTGAATTCGACAAGTCACAACAAATTCAAACTAAACTATAATGAAAAGCCCAAACCTATTATAATCCTAGTGTGGAAAAGTAATAATTTTCTAAACAACCTAAAGTAATCCTCAAAGTAAATATGAGTAATAAAAGACTAGAATACAAATGAACAGCATGCATAATGAAAAAAACAAAGACAAAACTTTGCATAATTTTCTCATTTTCCTTCATAATATTCAAGAAAATGAAGGCTGACCATATTTCATAAAAAATGACTCCATTTACACTAACAGTATGGATGAGTTGTTCCAGTACAATAGAAGATTTCATCTTCTATTGTACTGGAACACATCAATACCTCAGTTTTGTTTCTCTGAGCTAATCAGAGGCTGATTTGGACTTTGCAGTTAACTATTGTTAACAGCACACGTACAAACATGACCTGGTGGGCGGGGCTAACGGTCAACCCTCTCTCACAGCAGAGTATGATGTTTTGTAAAATGACAAAACCGGCACAAAAAAGTTCAAAGCTCAGTTTCTTTTTTTTTTGTAACTGATTCATTTTTCTTTCTCCATCTCTTCCCCCTATCCCAATTGTCTTTCCAGAGAATGCTAATGGTAGCTGTGAAACGAAAGGTTTCTCAAACCTAGAGTCTGAGGTGACACCACACTCGACACCGTTAAGTTTCATCCCTTTGACGAACTCGTGCAGTATCCCCCCGAAACTCGAACATAGCTACGCCATCCCGTCTCCGATCTCCTCCTTTGACAGGGATTGCCTCATCAGCTTGACCACAGATGAAGGCGTCACAAAGTTCTCCTCAGCCTGACATGGAGATGCTGCGTTGCTGAACAGACTCTGTTGGAATCGTCATTCAGGCTGAGGGGAAATAACAAAACAAAACAAAAAACACTACTCACTCAAATTGTTTTTGTTTTGGAACTTTTACTACCTCAGAGGAAACGTCACTCTGGACTTGCTCCGGAAATGCTAAAAAATTCAGGCTTATTGGGTGGAAGCTGTTGGGCTACAGTGTTCATCTATCAGAGATCACTAATCTGTTTAAGATTGAGTGAGAGAACATGGATAATTTTTTCTACTGGATGTGATGGCATAAATGGCGTCGTTATGGTTGGCGTGATGATGCCACCAGGAAGTTTCCACAGAATCTGCCAGTCATTCTGTCGTCCCATGATGTCTTGAAAAGACATCCATATTTTGTGCCCACTCACCAACATTTTATCTCATGACTCCAAACCTATTTCCACTTTTTGCCTGTAAGCAGTGCCAGTGTACTTTACAATTTTTTATTGTTTTGGTCTGCAGGTGGATATCAATTTTATTGATGAATAAAATAATTATAAAATGGAGAAATCTCATGTTTAATTAATACTGTAGTATTTTGTAAAAGACTATGTTAAATATTATTTCCATTGATTCCCCCATTGGATCTTGCATAAAATAGGACCCCCTGATCAAACTAAGACAAAGCTGAGCCACCTGCTGTCAGTAGAGATTATTTATTAGAGTTACATAAAAATGTTTACTTTCAATAGAGTAAGAGCCATTGGTTTTCAATACAGGTACAAAATCTTCCTGTGATGGGTCTTAATTAATAAGTGATGGGGAAAAAATGACCACCACTTGTCCATCTAATTAATTTGCACAGATTATAAAAACCTTAATGTTGTTTCCTAGGATTGCCCTGATATAAGTTAATACATTTATATGACTGAAAAGGCACAGACCGGTAGGAGATTCTGACTGTATTAAACCCTTTTAGTAAAATAAGTTTTAATTTTTGTAAGTTTTAAAAACACTATTTTTACATCTTTGTTAAAATTGTCATTCTGTCCTGACAATGTAATATAAAAATGGAGCTCCTCTGCCTTCTCTCTATGGTCCTACAGCCATCTGCAGAAATACAGTCAGAGCCAGGAGTAGAGTCTTAGCGCTGTCCATCAAGCTCATGTAGGTTCACACCCCTCCCACTGTTCTCTGCTGGGCTACAGCTAGTTCCCTACAGTGGAGGCTGTCTTGAATGCTAAGGTTCGTTAGCATAGCCACCGATGATGGCAGATAAAGTTTTTCTGTAATAAGTTGTTTTCAAGCCCACATTGAGCAGTGCATACACAAGCATGTTTGACAATACTAAGACCTTCCTGTTGGTTCTAATTGGCTGCATCCACCAATTGTAGTTTTAAAACTTAAATACCTTCATCTCCAAATTGTTAGTTTCTTTCCAAGCTGAAATATTTCCAGAGTCAAATTTGACTGGCAGTGCGCAGCAGCATGTTGGGGAGGGGTCACACTAGATTACTTTTGGCAGCGAAAAGATACTCCTCGTTAAAAGGTCTGTGAAGACTAGTTACTGTTGGACAATAGACTGCTTTTAGGCTTTGGTAATGGTAAACAGAATAAGGCTGTTCCTGACATCAGTATGGACAATTCAAGTTTAAAAGCCTCAACATCAAGTCTCAATCAGTCTCGAACCGGTACATTTTGTACGTAATATTTGTCTCATAAAACCCTTACATACTATAGGTCTTGACTTGACTATAGGTTTTGGATTGGTCCATTTCCCTCCACTGCAGTCTTATTAGAACTCCCTGCCAAGACTCTGTCTGAAACTCTCTTACTTTGTAATTTTCTCAGGTCTCTAGCTCCTACTTGCTCTTCAGCCTTCTGATCTGTAGACTTTTGATTGCACTCTTAAGGATTTGACATTGAACATTGCTGCAGTGAAAAGTCTCATGACAGTATTTTTGTCATCAGACCATTCAGAGAGTGGTATGCCCATGCAGGCAGTGTGCCCTCTGGTCGATGTTAAGAGTGGTGTGGGGGATTGTCTCCCGGTGATGCTCTGGACCTCTGAAAGCATCGACTTTTATTTCTCCGTTGTCACAAAAGCCCTTTATGCCTTCCATTTAAGGACCTGCCCTACATTACGAAACAATTTCAACTGTGACAACTTAATAGTTGTCGGGTGCACACGGCTCTGAGGGCGTTAGCTGTATTTCAGCGCACACTTCGACTTGTCATGTTGAGAGAAGCTCAGGAGGATTTGGCAACACTAAAGAGAAGTACTGTTTGGTTTTAGTCTGCTGGTTTTAGCCTGTTTGCCTGGAATTATCCTGGTTTAGCCATTCAGCTCTGCTAAAACAACAAAACTGGGTTCTATTTACACTTTTTTGCTGCATATTCAAGGCCTAATTTAGTCTCCATGGTGCAGAAGTGTAAATACAGTGAGAGAAATAAGTATGTGATACAGCTCTGATCTTTAGAGCTTTCCCACTAAAGAACAGACAGGTCTGTAATTTTCACCCAACTCTACCTCAACTGAGTACAACAGAGTATTACGGCCATAGTAGGGAGAACAAGAAAATAAGATTGCGACAGTCATAATATCCTGAGAATAGTCATAATATTATGAGTTGTACATGAATAAAGTCGGAATATGAAAAAGTCGCAACAATATGAGAAAAAAGTCATATTACGAGAGTAAAGTTGTATTATAAGAATAGTCATGATATTACGACTTTATCATCATCATTCTACAACTTTATTTTAGGAATTATTTGGACTTTATTGTCCCAAAACTTACAGTATTTTCTTAGCGTGGCCCCAATAATCCATCGTACATGAGAGACGGACTCTTAAAAATAGTAGAGACAATAACATTTAATTGATCAGACATGAACTGTAGCTATTGAGTTGGTTTGCCCACAGTGCCGGAGGGATTTTGGCCCCAGTTACATACAGATCATCTTCAAATCTTTCAAAATTCAGGTTCAATTCTCTCCAATATTTTCTATTTGGTTTAAGTTTAGATCCCAAAGCAATACATTAAGTCACTTCAGGAGCTTGATGTGCTTCCTATGGAGCCACTTCTTACTTGGTCCTTCTGTATATTTTGGGTCATCATTTACAGGACCTGTCTGTAAAGCTCTTACTGAAAGAAGTGTTGCCCTAAATCTCATGACTCATGGCCCTCTCCATTCTTTCCTCAGGAAAACCCACAAATCTGCTTTGATGGTGGTGACGAGCAGTGGTGTCCAAAGTCAGTCCTCATTCTGTATGTTTTAAGTCTCTCCCTGGTTATCACAACTGGATCAATTGATGGCTCATTTCAAGCCTTAAGAAGAACATTGTCATGCTGAGGGGGTTGTTAGTACCACCAGGGAGAAAACTAAAACATGCAGCAGCGTTGCGGCCCTTGAGGACCCACTTTGGACACCACTGGTGAGATACTTAATCAGGAACTAAATTCAGCACATTTTTCTTCTTTTGGACATTTTTACCTTTAAACTGTTGCGTTATTTTGCTTCATTTTCCACTCTCATCCTTACCATCTATATATTCATACTTTTATGATTATCTTATTAAGTACGCCAACTTCTGTTGGTTTCAGGTTACGTTTGCTGGAAAATGTGCTGTTTAATGTTCCAAAGAAATGAGCAGAAACCGCTCTAGAAGGAAACGTAGTAAACATGAAGCTTACATTTTATTCATCTATATATTCTAATGAGACAGTTGACCTCCATAAGAGAAAAATGTTAAAAAATAAAAGCAGTACTTCTCCTCTGGGGCTCTCTTCCCATTCTTGAAGCACCTCAAACATTTCTCACCTCTCTCTCTCTTCATACTTGGTGTGAACCTCCCCCCCATGGAGTATTTATGTGGCGACACTAGGGGGCAGCGAGACCCCACAGAATCTCAAAATGTGTCCCGGCTGCTTCAGACCCGATGTTGTTTTCAAACTGCCAGATGAAATGCTACCGTTTGGTTTCCAGAAATACAGCATTTGTGAATACAAGCGGAAATGAGTCAAGGTGAAGTGTGGAAGTTCTCTTGTGTTTTTGAGAGTGGAGAAGAAACCAAGGTGTCAGACTGAACACCTGCATACAGTGATGACATTATTTCAGAAACAGATATTGTTTCTGGAGGGTTTTTTTATGGTGTTCTATGAGATGTTTTTGGTAAGAAAAACTTGTCCCGAAATGATAAAGAACATCTGCAGAATGTTCCAGACTCAGAGTCAGGTTAAAGGTTAGCAGATGAGGAAACACTCTGACCATGTTTTCTTCAAAACGTGACTGAGTTTTTAAATAAATTAACTATTTCTGCTTTATTAAACCATTTAAAACTAGAAAAATCTTTAAACTAATCCAAAATTCTGTGAAATTCCAAGTGCCGTAGCTATTTTTAAAAACTTTTCTCATGTCTTCAGCATCCACAAGCAATCTCTCTTTGTCTTAGCTGCAGCATCTCAGAAAACACATTATCTCCCCAAACATGATGATGTAATCCTTTGGCCACCTGCAGTATTACAGCGGCGTCCGTAGATGGCAGTGTTGGACCTGAAAATCCCCCCTCCTTGAACTCTGTCAACCCAATTCCCCCCACAAACAGTGGCATATTCAGTCTGAGTTCATGGAGAGTCACTGGATCATTGCTGGTATTGATTCATGTGTGGTTCTGATTTTTTTTTCTTCTTCTTCTGTGCCACTAAGATGAGCACATTGGGTTGGGGAAAGAATTTTTTTTTTAAACATTGGTTTGTATTGAGTCGGCCCTGGATGTCAGCGCACCTCCAGGAGTTAAAGAGCAGTCAGTTGTGTCTGTCAATCAGCCAATCAATTTCTCCATGAAGGTTCGTTCTTAAAGTGCTTTTTCTTGTCACCTGCAAACTAATGACGCACAGCGGGAGGCTTAAAGTGCTGAGCAAAATGCACAGATGGCTGGACTTTAACAGCGACATAGGGCAGAGTCGCCACTTAAGATAACATCCATCAGGTTTTGTGTTTGTGTGTTTTTTTGTTGTTGTTTTTTTTTTTTTTTTGACTCTGAAGGCCAGTCCGGCAATCTCTTTTTAGCCAAATTGTGCTACCGGTTCCTGCGCCGCACTGTACTCCCTTCGCCCGGGCTGCGGTTGTGACTGTGAAAACTCACAGAGGCTGGAAGAGAAAACAAAACTCGTGGAGGGTTAAAGAGGGAGCACGAGAGAGGGAGAGAGCGTACTACTCGCCTCTCATTGGCGGCGGGAAAGCACGCGGCGTCTTTTTACGCGGCGCCACCCGGCCAATCGTCTACCTTTTGCAATGTTTTGGGTTTATGAATGAAATGGATAGTGAGAAAGCAGCGCAGGAGTAGTTTGATTCACCACTCTGTAGCTCAGGGTGGAGAGTCTATTCTGAAAAAGAAAAAAAAAAAAGGGAAAAGAACAGGTGTACCTGCAGTTTGACTCAGAGTAGCTGTGGATGTGGAAGAATGAATGCTGGATTCAGAAGAAACTTAAGGTGGTTATGTCAGTAGAAACTTGTTGCCTAAACAGTGCTGATACCCTTTTC